CAGGGTTTATGTGATCTCAACTAAACAACAAACAAACATGTAAAAGATGAAGATCATCTGTGGAATAGCTTTGAGCTTATTCATATTTCATATACAAATATTCAGAGGTAAAACAATAAACCGAGATTAACTTCATTTTGAGGGTCAGGAGGTTGATTATTCTGATTCTTTGAGCACATATTTGAGTTTGATCCTCACAAAATGAACTTTAATGACTGTGACACTCTGATTATATGTTAATTATCACAATTCATTCAAGTGAAATAAGTATTTATACCACATTAATTATACTACATTAATAACAAAACACTTTTTCTAACATTAAAGTGTCATGAAGGACTTAAAGAGTCCATTTAAATGCTCTGTTAATGGTTTTAGAGGTGAAACACTTTGAAGGCATTTAGTTCCTTTTTCTTTCTGAATCAGAGTCTATCTGCTGTGTTCACTGTAGTTATGCTGCTATTTTAACATTCATGGTCCTGTTCATATGAACCGGGCCTTCATCATTTCTCGGCTTGTCTTTTGGAAAAGATAACTAGCAGACACTTTTTATAGCCTTTCTCACAACAACACTTTTCTTGTAAGTATCAGGGTGTGAGGACGTGAACAAACAGGATTTACTAACGTCAAATTAAATGTTCACTTTTCACATTTCAACAAGCTGCTTCAGTCCTGAGAACAAACATCAAATGAAGCTTTCATTTCTACCAACAGTTTATAAAGACATGCGACATTTCCCTCTTTCCATTAAATCGTCTTCAATGAATCTGAACTCACCTGCCGTCGTGTCGTGGAGGAATAATCCCACGAGAGACACAAACACCAGAGTCTTCATTGTGACCTGTGAAGTCTTCAGCTTCGTCCAACTTCAAACGTTTATGTTTCTCATCAACTTCTTGAGAATCTGCGTGTTTCGAGCTCTGAGGGTGAAATGAGGGAGGAGAAAAAAGATCGCTGACTTCAACCTCTGTCTCAGCCAATAGGAATTCAGCCTGAGCATCGACGTCACTAGTAACTAGGTCACATTGACTCAGACAGGTTCTGAACATAGACTGTTAATGTTACTGTTGTGAATGAAAGTGAAAGTTAACTCCGCTTGTTTGAGCCCATGACAGAGCATTGGGAGACACGCAGGACTTTATTTATTTATCACAGTAGTGTTAAACCTTCAGATGATCAGATTATTTTTATATATTTTGTTGGTTAATGTGAAGTTTTAAGAACAAGTGTATACATTTGTGAGAGTTCAAAGGTCAGATACAGGGATAATCTGGAGTTTGTAGGGATGTAGTTGAGTCTTGTTGTGCTTTTGTTCTGTATGGCTGCTCTGGGATTTAATAAAAAGTCCTAATCCAGATATAAATATAGTTTAATATAAGTTATAGTGAGTAAATGTGGTGAGGTGCTCTCCTGTCCTGCAGTAACTCAATGTGCTCTGTGATTATCAGATATTTAAATACACGTGTGCACAATCATAACATTGAATAATGTTATTAAATCAGATGAAGGAGGACGTCTTATACCTTTTTGAAGTACTTATCATTTTCTTCTTTTATCACTTTCTGCATGTGTTGTGTATAACTCTTCAGTAGAGGTCTACACACAGGTCTTAGCACAGATTAGGCCGACTGTCAGGACAATCACTGACACACAAAAGATGGTTTGAATGAAATAACATCAGATCACACTTTACAGATCCAGCTTTATCTGACAGGTTCAATGATCCTGAACTAGTTTGGAGCTTTGGACGCTGAAAACTGCTGGAACAAGAGAAATGTGACACCTTTTTGATGTTTGAACACCTGATGCTGTGTTTCATTTTGCTCTGCTTTTTGTGTAAACTCAGTCCAAACCTCACACAGGCATATTGTTTTTAATCTATTTAACTTTTATTTTACCAGAAAAATATTCTCATTGAGATACAAGATTTCTTATTTCAAGAGAGCTCTGGCCAAGACAGCAGCATCAAAGTTTCGCACAGAGAGAAAAAGACTGACAATGAACAGAAATAACACGAATCACCACATCAGAAATGTTATTCAAAGAAACATGTGCATACAGCAGCGAAATAAAATCTCCCAAGCCGACTAAAAGCCTTACTTTAGGATGAGTCTGCAGCTCAGACAAGATGATGGACAAACACTAAAACGGCCTGTTTGAGCTCACATTTTCTGAAAAGGGGTGCAGAGAAAAGATGGCGAGGATGAACTTTTGTCATCATTGGGGGGAAACATAAAAGCTTCAAATGTACAAAACGAGACTTGTGGAGAATGCAACCTGAACTAAAGTTAAATTAATTTCAGTGTTTACACATAATCATAAAATATGCAGGATGAGCTCTGTGTAATATAATGATGAGATACCTTTAATTAAAGGATTTGATCTATACTTTATGGTGATGTTCAAAAAATCTGTTCCTTTTAAATAAAACTACAAATCACATTCAAATAATGGAGATGGGACGTAACAATTACCACATATGCAATGGAACGATATGAGAAAAAATATTCAATAATGATAACATTGTTCAATATTTCAATAACGATATGGATTGAAATAAATTAACATAAAGTGTCCTCAAAAGCTGGCTGCTGTTCTTCATGTCTAACAGAACAAAAGTTTTTGCAACATGTCACTTATAAATTAATTTATTTTTTATTTTTACTCCACTAATTAATTAATTTGTAAACAGATGCCAACACAGAGATATCATAGGACCCTTCAAACAACTGAAGGTATCCATAATTAATGTGAAATCATCAAAGCTTCCTTAGTTAACTTGAGAAGTCACTAACATGGGTAGCCGACGATTGAACGGTAAATAAATGAGAAGCACATTATTTATGACCTCTAGTGGTCACAGTGAGTAACTACAGCATCAATACTGTCAAGTCAAAATAAATTACATTGTACTACTTCCGGTCATCGCTGTTAAAATAAAATCATAGGGAAAGTAGAGAGAAGGAGATCATGTGAGATAATCAGTCAGTTAATCTCTTTTTCATTATAACCCCCTCCTAAGACATATTTTAAACAGCGAGCCCTTCCTCACGTCATTTTAGTTTACATTAAAAATTCCTTCAAAATGTATATTTTTTGCTTCTTTTAAAGATCTTTTAAATGAATGTTATGTAAAATGTTTGTTATTTATAATTGTTTGCCTTTACTTATGATTTTATGTCTAGACTGTTTTACGTTTGTTTTATTATTGCTGTCCTTGTAAAACACTTTGTAGCTTCATTTTAAAAATTCTCCTATATATAGATGTTATTATTATTATTATTATAACATTATTATTTTTTTTTTTGAATCTTGTGTGATCACATGTAAAATAAATACATATATTTTTAGTGTGTGATCGTATGTTCACAGAGGCCTGATTATCTGATACATTTTTTATTGTAATAAATAAATGAGCTTATACTATCCCTGATCCAGAAATACAATGTATACTTTCCCCAAATTATTATTATTAAATATTTGACCCTCTCTCAGTCAACTCAATTCTTTCATACATGACGTGTTGATGATCACAGACAGTAAAAACAGAGAACTTTTACAGTTAATTCAAAGCTCTTGTTAAAGATTGTTTAAGGATAATTGTCCTCAATAGTTAAATAAATCCAAATACTCACAGCTTAAGTACAAACACTGTTTGCTTTGTTAATGATAATGCCATATGTGCTTTATTTATATTATAATTACGCTATGTATGACACAATGATTTACTGCGTCATCAATCTGTCAAGGTAGATGTTTATACAAAGAACAACTTCCGACTATCACTATCAAAATAAAAGTTTTGCACTTTGACCACAGGGGGCAGTGTGTACTCACGGTTATACTTTTATCAACTCTGTTAAGAATAACCTCCTCAAGCTAGAAACAAGAACAAGACTATCGAGGAAGAGGAATACATCATTTCATACTTTTACCTCAAATTAATGGAGGTTGAGGCATTTTATCTCCCTCTTGATCAACAAAGTTTCTGCCGCTAATTCTAAACATCTATGCAAAGCTCACAGGAAAGTTTGTGTCCTCCTGAACAATTCACCAAAACTAGGAAGCCGTTGTTCATGCTGATTAATTAACTTTACCGAATTATAACAAAAGACTTTAATCTTTTTCTTCTATCAAACAGTGAAAGTTTGTAAAGGAACATTATCACATCGCCTTACAGCTCCCTCTTGTTAACGCTAGCTGCACTTTATGAAGGTAATGTTTGACGGAGTGAACAACACAACGCTTTAATCTATGGCCAATTAAGTTATAAAATATCTGTTGTCCAAGATAAAAATGTATTTAATGTTCATTTGAATCAACATCATGTATTCTGTCCGTGTAGCTGTTTTTAAATGTGTTTCTTGTTCTACATTGGCGTATTCAGTATCGTGCGCCATCTAGTGGCCTCAATGAAGAACTACACCCGCAGAGTCAAGTTAGATACACGTAGCGAAGAGATACTTCCGTTAAACCCTTTCAAAATAAACCTTGTATTAAAACGGAGGGATATTCCATCCTGTTCATACTGTGACTGTAATCTATGGTCAGTTTGATGAATAAAATGACAAAGCATTGTAATAGATGATTCCCTCCTCGCCTCCTTAGCTTTTAGTTAAACTCTGCTGGGCTCGTCATCAACCGGAACCGGAACACGTAACATTTTTCATCACTGGGCGCCATCTAGTGGACAACCCGAAAGCTACAACAACATAGGGGGGGAAACATGATGGGAGTATGACGGCTGCCACACGGCTGATATCAAGGTTGACGCTGGTCACTGGTAAATATATGTTGTAAGATACATGGTGTTGTGTGAAGTGAGACGTTTAAGGACATGCCCTTTTCCCTTTTCAAGATGTTGCGTTCAAAGCCGTGTGTTTTTCTGCAATCTTCTTCAATTCACCAAATCAAAGCAGCTACCTACTGCAAGTAGCTTCTGATATCAAAAAGTTTGATCTCCAAAGTAAGCTGACAATGAATTCATTATTTTAGTGTAACCGTGATTCTATCAGTGATTTCTAAATCAGTACCTCGAGCAGATCGGACTGAATTAAGTTTGATGACTTGAAATGAGAGTGAAGGTGAAAGTGTAGCTGTCATTCTGGCTGTGTGTATGCTATCAATAAGACCTGCAACCATTTCAGAATGAAATGATCTGCCGTTGAATTGTGAAAATACTGAAAAAGGAAACATGTTTAAATGCCTCAGAGTTTAAATCTTTAAATGTCTGGTTTTGTCCGACTTAAGGTTCAAAACTGTAAAAAATGCAATACAGTGTGGATACAGTGAGTGACTGAAAGGATACATGTATTATGAGAATTGTGGCTTATTAATTGTCTTCTTTGACTGATGGAATAAACATTAAAGCTGTATTATGAATGATGAAGCATCACTTGTCCTCTTACATTTTCACATAGAAAAGTGGACTCAAGGTTTTTGAAGACAGAAGAAAGAAAGAAATGTGATTGGGCGCAGATGATTTGTGAATAACAATTGGTCATGTAGCCCTGAACTGTTGGGCTAATCAAACTGAAAATCAATCACATCAAGTCAGCTTCCTGTCCTGTGTGTTTTCTTGTCGTCCTTGATTGATATTTGTTTTTTCAGATACTTCCAGAGTGGATCTTCTGTCACACTCAGTCTTTCCTCTGCAGCGTTGTGTTTAAAACATTCTGTCACTCTGGTAACTTCATGCTACTCTTTTCCCTCCCAGGAGGAGGCAGTGGGATCGGACGGGCGGTATGTCAGCGTTTGGCCTCTGAGGGCGCCTCCGTGGTGGTGGCAGACATCAGCGAGGAGTCTGCCAACGAGACCATGGTGGGTCTGCAGAATGACCTCAGAGGACAGGGTCACATGGCGGCTGTGGTGGATGTGTCATCAAAAGAGAGCGTGAAGAAGCTGGTCACCAGAATACAGGTGTGATACAGACAGGAAGACAAGCCAACACAACATGTGTTTACATTTCCATCATAATCAGCAACCTTTCTGTAGAAAAAGGTACTTTTCTCTCTGTGTGTTTTCATGCTGGAGGGGCTATTCCACGTGTTGTTTTTCTCTCCTTGTAAGTTATTGTTCTGTTCCTCTACACACTCATTACTTCCAGCCTCCCTCAGTGTGTGTGAACGCAGCAGGCATCACGCAGGACCACTTCCTGCTCAACATGGAGGAGGATCACTTTGACAGAGTCATCCAGGTCAACCTGAAGGTATGAAGCAAGTTCAGCGTGTAATCGAGTCTATCAGGTTAACGTCAGAGGATGACATCACAATCTAATAACTAGGGATGTGCCCGTTAGTCCACTTAAAGGTTGGAAGTCATCACCCTCACTAGTCGGCACCAGAATTACAAGTTACAAATGATTCATATTTTTAGATGTTGGCCCTCGATGCCGGTTCATTTGTGCTCAAATTGCAGCACTTCTTAAAGCACTCTTCTTCCATCACTGCTGTTGAGACATAACGTGGGTCGACTTTGTGAGAAGAATCAGAAAGAAAGAAATCAGTCTCTGTTGTCTTCAACAGGAAACAACCGAAGATTCAAGTTTCTCGTTGTTGCACTTGAAGAAAAGAATTCATAAAATGATTCTCTCACAAAACTTCTAAAAAACTGCACGAGTGAACGCAAACAGACACATTTCTACTCCGACTTTATCTGGAATTCTTTAGCCGGCAGCCCCTGATCATTTTTCTGCATGAAGTCGGGTTAGCTGATGTGAGAACGCAGCAGGAAGTATTCAGGTAAATTCACTGTGAGGGAGCAAGAGGGGGGTGGTAACGTTTCTACCTCAGGACCCGTGCACAACCAGAGACTGTATGACCGCGATATGTGTGATCTCTGTGCACGTTATTAAACCGCTGCCTTAAGTTTTCTGTCCTCCAGTATGTACAAAAAAACTGTCATCATAGAGTTGGACTCTGTTGCTCTGTCCACCACCTCTGACTGCCTGAAAATAATGAAGACTTTCAGTAGTGCATGAGTGAAAATGTCTTTATTGAGGCTGAAGAACGTTTAGGATTGTTGTGTTTTGTCCACAGAGCTGAATGATTTTTGTTATTATTTCAAACACTCTTTTCTCTGGTGCTGATTTACTGTGAAGAGATGAACTCACTCCTGCTCCTGCGTCTCTTCCAGGGCTCCTTCTTGATCACTCAGGCTGTGGCTCAGGCTCTGGTGGCCTGTGGAGCACCCAAAGGATCCATCATCACCGTGGGCAGCATCGTAGGAAAGGTGAGAGAGCTGCAGAGAGACGCTTTCTAGACGACAGTTTCACTTCTCTGTTGAATCTTTTAAGGTTTCTTTTCAAATGTATGAACATAAGTGTGTAAGGACCTGGAAAAATAAAGACCTGATTAAATAAAGACCTGATTAAATAAAGACCTGATTAAATAAAGACATGATTAAATAAAGACATGATTAAATAAAGACATGATTAAATAAAGACATGAATAAAGACCTGATTAAATAAAGACATGATTAAATAAAGACCTGATTAAATAAAGACATGATTAAATAAAGACCTGATTAAATAAAGACATGATTAAATAAAGACCTGATTAAATAAAGACATGATTAATAAAGACCTGATTAAATAAAGACATGATTAAATAAAGACATGATTAAATAAAGACCTGATTAAATAAAGACATGATTAAATAAAGACCTGATTAAATAAAGACCTGATTAAATAAAGACATGATTAAATAAAGACATGATTAAATAAAGACCTGATTAAATAAAGACATGATTAAATAAAGACCTGATTAAATAAAGACCTGATTAAATAAAGACCTGATTAAATAAAGACATGATTAAATAAAGACCTGATTAAATAAAGACATGATTAAATAAAGACCTGATTAAATAAAGACATGATTAAATAAAGACCTGATTAAATAAAGAGATGATTAAATAAAGACCTGATTAAATAAAGACCTGATTAAATAAAGACATGAATAAATAAAGACATGATTAAATAAAGACCTGATTAAATAAAGACATGAATAAAGACTTGATTAAATAAAGACATGAATAAATAAAGACATGAATAAAGACCTGATTAAATAAAGACATGATTAAATAAAGACATGAATAAAGACATGATTAAATAAAGACATGATTAAATAAAGACATGAATAAAGACATGAATAAATAAAGACATGATTAAATAAAGACATGATTAAATAAAGACATGATTAAATAAGACATGAATAAAGACATGATTAAATAAAGACCTGATTAAATAAAGACCTGATTAAATAAAGACATGATTAAATAAAGACATGAATAAATAAAGACATGATTAAATAAAGACATGATTAAATAAAGACCTGATTAAATAAAGACATGAATAAAGACATGATTAAATAAAGACATGAATAAAGACATGAATAAATAAAGACATGAATAAATAAAGACCTGATTAAATAAAGACATGAATAAAGACCTGATTAAATAAAGACATGATTAAATAAAGACCTGATTAAATAAAGACATGAATAAATAAAGACATGATTAAATAAAGACATGATTAAATAAAGACATGATTAAATAAAGTTATGATTAAATAAAGACATGAATAAATAAAGACATGATTAAATAAAGACCGGATTAAATAAAGACATGATTAAATAAAGACATGATTAAATAAAGACATGATTAAATAAAGACATGATTAAATAAAGACCTGATTAAATAAAGACATGATTAAATAAAGACGTGATTAAATAAAGACGTGATTAAATAAAGACGTGATTAAATAAAGACGTGATTAAATAAAGACCTGATTAAATAAAGACGTGATTAAATAAAGACCTGATTAAATAAAGACCTGATTAAATAAAGACCTGATTAAATAAAGACCTGATTAAATAAAGACCTGATTAAATAAAGACCTGATTAAATAAAGACATGATTAAATAAAGACATGATGAAATAAAGACCTGATTAAATAAAGACATGATTAAATAAAGACCTGATTAAATAAAGACCTGATTAAATAAAGACCTGATTAAATAAAGACATGATTAAATAAAGACCTGATTAAATAAAGAGATGATTAAATAAAGACCTGATTAAATAAAGACATGAATAAATAAAGACATGATTAAATAAAGACCTGATTAAATAAAGACATGAATAAATAAAGACATGATTAAATAAAGACCTGATTAAATAAAGACATGATTAAATAAAGACATGATTAAATAAAGACCTGATTAAATAAAGACATGATTAAATAAAGACCTGATTAAATAAAGACATGATTAAATAAAGACCTGATAAATGGGTTGTGTCTGTTTTTTCTGTTGCTCTACATGAACTTGAATGTTTCCTCCTGTCTGTGTGCTTCATGTTTGAAGGTGGGAAACCTCGGTCAGGTAAATTACGCTGCCTCTAAAGCTGGAGTGGAGGGTTTAACGAAGACGGCGGCCAAAGAGCTCAGCAGGTAAGAAGAGCCTGAAGCTCTGATGAAACACGATCACACCACGTGAGTTAGTTTTTTAAAATATCTTTTTTAATTCAAACAAAGAAGTCTTTTGCTTTTCCTTCTTCTCCTGACAGGTTTGGGATTCGGTGTAATTGTGTTCTGCCCGGTTTTATATCGACTCCGATGACTGAGAAAGTTCCAGAGAAGGTTATTGACAAGGTACACACAGACACACACACACACACACACACACCACACACACACACACACACACACACACACACACACACACAGAACTGAAATATATTTGTATTATAGGCGACACATAAATGGAACTGTGACTAAAAACCTTGTTTATGTTGCAGATGAAGTCTTTGGTGCCTCTGGGAAGAATGGGTGAGCCTGAAGGTCAGTGCAGACGCATCTTTAACATCATTCTGATCTGGTTTCACTTCATTCTGATCTGGTTTCACTTCATTCTGATCTGGTTTAACATCATTCTGGTTTCACTTCATTCTGATCTGGTTTAACATCATTCTGATCTGGTTTCACATCATTCTGATCTGGTTTAACATCATTCTGATCTGGTTTCACTTCATTCTGATCTGGTTTCTCTTCAGGTCTTTGTTCTTTCTTTGATTTGTAAACTGGAAGGATTTGTTCTGTTCTTAAAACACTCTGAAATACTCGTTCCCTGCGCTCTTACTCCTCCACACCTTACAGTCAAAAAGAGTCCTGAAAGTGTTCTGACTCTGAGTGTCTGACACGCCCACTTTGAAAACCTTCATCATGTTTATGTTCTCTCTCTCTCTCTCTGTCTCTCTCTCTCTCTCTCTCTCTCTCTGTCTCTCTCTCTCTCCTCTCTCCCCCCTCTCTCTCTCCCTCTCTCTCTGTCTCTGTCTGTCTCTCTCTCTCTCTCTCTCTCTGTCTCTCACTCTCTCCTTCTCTCTCTCTCTCTGTCTCCCTCTCTCTCTGTCTCTCTCTGTCTCCCTCTCTCTCTGTGTCTCTCTGTCTCTCTCTCCCTCTCTCTCTCTCTCTCTCTGTCTCTCTCTCTGTCTCTCTCTCTCTCTCTCTCTCTCTCTCTCTCTCTCTCTGTCTCTCTCTCTCTCTCTCTCTCTCTCTCGTCCTGCAGAGGTGGCAGACGTCTGTGTCTTTCTATCTTCAGATGACTCTCGGTACATCACAGGATCCAGTATTGAAGTCACAGGTAAACTTTGATTTCCTTCTCTAACGGCTGCTTCTCTAAATAAACACGATCCACTTCATTATTTTTTACAGTGAACCGGGTATTTGTTTCTTTTTTAAATAAACTGAAACCAAGTTTGAAAGGTTGAATCTTAAAGGTGCACTCCTGTCTTTGTCAGGAGGACTTTTCATTGGCTGAATCGTTCGTCTGAAACCCTGATGAAGACCAACGGGGGGGCAGCTCCTTCATAGTTATATCACTTGTTCATATATTTCTTTGATTTACATGATTGCTGCTGAAAACATCTTAGAAATCTGAATGTGAACATGTTTTATGAAAACTTGTTTAGTGCCAATAAACCTGTTTATAACATTTCTTAAAATGTGTTTAAATGATTGTAAAACTTTGGTACTTAACCCTTCATGTGTCTGAAAGCTCTTCACAACATTTTCCAAAGGTGGGCGCTGTTGGAAGTTCACGATCTGAAGAGAGTTTGAAATCTGATCCTTTAGGTGCTGAACTCACAGCGGGATTTAGCTCATCTGTCTCTGACTGAGATAATCAGCTTTTAAAAATCAGCTTAGAAAGAAAAAGAGTTCAACAAAATGTGTTTTCATGCAGACTCTGCTCACAGTTTCCAAAAATCAGTTCAAACTTAGTATATGCTGGTTAGAAGCTAAGCTTGTAAGTTAGGTTTTTAGAAATGAAGCCAACAAGTGAAATGAAAGTGTGTAGTTTACCTTCAGTAATAATTATAAATACTGAACATTTTTAAACACAAACTTTCAGAAGTTTAAAAAATGTTTGTCAGTCTGAAAAATAAAAACACTGTAAAAGATTTTATACAGAAACACCAAAAACATACAAGGTTTCTGTTGTGGAGATACAGGCTTTTACAGCCTCCGTTCATAAAACAGATACATCTTAAAAAGATGTTTAATGTGCATGTTATCTTTGAAAGAAAGCAACACATTTAAAACATTTAAGATGTTATGTCATCATTAGTTTAATATCTTTATGATTCACATCCAGCTGGTTTAAATCATGCAGCATCTTTGGTATGATATCGTGCAATGACCTGTTGATGATGAATCTTTAAACTCATTTGAGTATCTGCATTAAACTGCTGAGAAACTTAAAGGGGGATTAACTCCAACCGGCCACAAGAGGGCGCTGTTTAGTCGATACGTGACGGATAGGATGAAGAATTACACTGAAATGAATAAAATCACAATCTTAATAAAAGTAATTGAAAGGTGTTCTCTGAATGTTAAAGAACCTGATTGGTTTAATGGTTCAATAAAAAACACATAATGTCGTGTTCTGTCCTCTCGACTGAATTCATTGAGCGAAGTTAGCAAACCGGAAATGTAAACAGACGTTTCCTGTAAAACATTAAAGTAACAGATTTAAAAGACCAACCTGCGTCAAACTAACCCAAAACTACAAGAATGTGTTGTTGGTTAAAAATAGTAAAGAATCTGTATCTGTATTACAATGTTAATGTAAACATGGATGACAAACAACCCAGAGTTAGCATTATTGTCACTAACGCTGTTGGTGCACCTGCTTAAACGTCCGGAGTAGCTACAACAGCAGCTAACTTTGGTTCCTACTGCTGATTAGTTTAATTAATGAATCATGAAAGACAAGAAGAAAGGATCGATTGATAGATACAAAATAATGCACGCGAATGATCAGAATAAATATTACAAAAAGAGCTCAGCGAAGAAGAAAAAATCAATCTTGGTGTGAGAAAACTAAAAAGCACATCTTTTTCATATATCATATATCACCCCACACAGGAAGCAGGGGTTTAACTGCTTGTCTTGTTACAAGGCGACACCTTAAAATCCATCTATTATCTACCTGAATGAATAAGAGATGGCAACATCCTGTGGCCAAAAGTAGTCAAAGAGACGTACGATGACAGATGTTAGGAAGAAAAACAAGAGTCAAGCAGCTCTTTTAAAAAGATTATATATTACAGAAACAAGAATTTAAAAAAATTACTTACACACATTATAAAATAATACTTTTTACTCTTTTCAGCACCATATTTTTTATGTTTGTCTTCAGAACAAAGGAAATATGTTTAGGTCATTGTTTCTGGAGGATCTCAAAGTCAGATTTATTCATTTTAAGGTTTTGGTCATCCCGTCGAGTTTCTGAGCTATACTTTAAAAAAGGTCAAACAATAAAAAACAAAACAAAGCTAAGCCCTTGTATGCCATCTTGTGGCCACTCATGTCGGCAGACAGGGTCGTCCCCTCCCTCTCACAAATGTCCTCCTACCCACTTAAATCACAGATGTTCATTTTAAAGCTCAGAGGATTGTGTTAATATTTAAACATGTTGATCAATGCAGGGACTGACTCAGTGAACTGAATTTCTTTGATGCATTTAAAAGCCCAGTTAAGCAAGAAGCTGAGTTTGAAACCAATAGACGTCGAGTGAAACAGTAGCAACGACAGAGCTGGAGAGTCACCATTTAATCATTACAGTGGAAGCAAAATTGAACAGCACAGTACAGTTGATGAAAACACTAAAAAAAGGGATATTACAATCAAATATGGCCACAGATTCTTTGGTTCTACAGGAGGAGTTTGGACAGGGCGTGAACAGAAGCACCTTAGCTCAAGCTGGAAGATAGTTGAACATGTAAGTCACTCTAGTCACTTGAACACTTGAGTGTCAGCTACAGGAAATAAATACAAATGAAATATACCACATTTGACGTGAATATTTGGTGGTCTTTTTTTATCTCATAGCACCCTGTTTGTTTTAAATAAATACAATAGAATATCACTATTTCTGTACAAATGGAATGTAATGCACATTTTCCCCAGTAAAAAAGCTTCATGAAATTATAAAAGAGACTAAAGAGAGTGAAGGAGGGGTGGAAAGTGAATACTACAACTTGTATACTTTGGTATAATTAGCACCTTGCCACACAGTTTCTGCATGCATTTAATTCACTGCTGTAGGAGAACAAAGATGGGAGAGGGCTCCCAGGTACATATTTAAACCCTGACGAGGTTCTGATAATCAGAAAACATGTTTTGGATTTAAAAAAAATCAAAGTACCCAGAAAGTGACTCAGTAAATGCTAGACTGGTGTGGGATGGAGACCCTCATAGCCTGATCCTTGATTTAAAGACCAATCAGCTGTTTAAAAGGCACAAGTAGCATGTAAGTACAACAGCATCAGGCGTAGCACAGCTTACAAAAACAATGGCTATTTAATTCCCTGACCAAGGTTTCCACACATCTTTATTTTGCCTCACTGCACGCAGCAAGTTTTGTCCTGCGTAACAAACCAACAATTCAAAGAGAGTTTCTGCTGCTCTCAAAGGAAACAGGTCTAACAAAGAATAACTCCTGCTTCTCACTGGACTCTACAATCCTTGCTGCATCACACCAGAAAGATTTTTCAACCATTAGTATGAGCTGTGAATCACATTTATAGAGTGTTTTTAATGACACTGAAAGATAATCATAAAGAGAAGCCGCTGTAACAAAAGAAAAACTTCAATCTAACAAGCATGGCATCCTTCGGTTGGTTCCCTCTTCATTCTGGGAGGAAACTGGTGGCTTTATTTCTTTGGTTCCTTTTGATACAATAAGAAAAGAGCTGTGAGTTAAAAAGTGTTTCCAATGTGAGCAACACGATTGACAAGTCACTGAGTGTTTACACACATGTCACAGAAATAGACAGCTAGATGACTGAGCCCGTAAAGAAGATTTGAACTGACCACTGGCCGTCATTTTACTTCCAAAGTTTGGCGCCTGCAGGTTTCTTTTAGGTTCATGAGTGGGAGTGCTGGCTTAGAGAAGAAAGTTGATTCAAAACATTCAATTCTCAATTGACTGAAGCATTTAACACCAAAGCTGTGAACCGAAACTAACTTTTCAAACCGTACGGATGCATTCAGCCTCATATGTTGCACCGCTCTTCAGTCTGAAAAGAGTGACTGTCAACCATGTTGCCCGCAGTGTGAACGTGAGATTAAAGAAATGCAGATAAAGTCCGAGTGTGACCCTTTTTTTTTAGAAGGAGGAAGCAGGAGGTAGAGCAAGTGGGATGAGTGGATAAAAAAAGGGGAGACCGTGGGGAGGAGAGAGGAGTGAGAGGGGGATCGGAGACAAGGGGCTTCAGATGTCGCCGGCTTGTTCTCTGTCTCAGGCCGGCCTCTTTGGCTGCTGGTAAAACAACACTGTTTCATTCTTCAGAAACACTCTCTCCTGGCTTCTTTCTTCCTTTCTTGCTGTGGTGCGCCCAAACGATGATCTCCTCTCTGCGAGTTTTTATTTCTCTCCTCTTGACTTATTTTTGACGTCCATTATTGGTTGGGACGATGTTGAGTTTCCCAGGCACGTACTTGAGTGTGAGCGCTTGTTTGTCCCACAACCGCATCTGTGTATCTCAGTGTGTGTATGTGTGTGTGTTTTCATATCATTTACAAGTTAATTTACAAATTACTGGGCATGTATGTGTTTTTATATCAATGTGTCTCTAAGTGCATGTGTGTGAGTGTTTGTAGTGTTGTTCCGCTCAGGATGTGTGTGTTTTTAGCCTTGGAAACAGACAGGTCCCACTTCAAAGCCAAACTGCTGGTTGCTCTCCCCAAAGTCTGACACCTTAATATCCCGCAGAGGAAGATGCTCCACTTGTGGCGTGTTGATTTCCAGCACTGTCCTATCGAAGCCCTTACGATACTGCAGACAGAGACGGAGAGAGAGACACGTTTCAGAAACAGGAAGCATTTTCTTTAGGGTGGTAAGATTGTGAAGAATGAGGTCTACTCTTGTAAAAGTGTTTTTATGTTCACGTTATGTAACTGCATCAGAACTAGAGAAATATAGAAACTCATCACTGATGCACTTTAGATTAGGCTGCTTGATTTTTAAATGTCCATGATTAGACAGGTCAAACATTTAGAAGGTCGTTTCCACAGATGTATCCTTTAGGTGTAGCAGGGAGGTTTGGTTTATGTGTGTTAACTCACAGAGCAGCCGTCCACCAAGGCCTTGATGTAAGGGTTGGTCTCGTAGCTCAGATCCTCCTCGTTGGCGCCCTGGAAGTGCAGCGCTCTGTTGTAGCTGTTCTTGGCGCTTCGGTCGGCCCAGGCCACCGAGCGATGGCAGTGGTAGGTGAGGTTCTGGCGGGCCTGGATGCTCAGGAGACGCAGGAAGCCGAGCTGGACCACGCCCACAGGCTCGCCATTAGAGTCCACATAGGAGAACTGGTAGAGGATGAGGAAGAGGAGGTCATTAAGAGGATCAGAGGAAGTTAAGGTAAGAATGAAACTATAATCTTAAAGGTCACAGAAGGTCACAGAAGGTTACGGACCTTGCTGCCAGTGGAGAACTGA